GGGGCAGGGAGCCAAAGGTAAGTAAAGGAGACTTTACAGCAGTGCCTCTTTTCTACCTTGAAAATCTAGTCTGTGAAAAAGTAAATAGTTGGAAATTAGGCAGACAAATGGGTAGAAAAGGAGGGGAGGAAGAGGGAAGAGAGAAAAATGTAAGAGGTCAGGTCTGACAGGTACCTGGTGAATCAGATCTTGTGTAAGTTCCCTTTGAGGATTAGAACTGAGAGCTCAGAGAGGGAGTGAATTCAAGACCTGCCAACAAATCTCCACCACTCCCACAATAACTACACCCCACAACAAAATCATCACCAATCCTGGATCTTATACCTGCACCTCTAGAAATGTAATACATCTCATCCAATGCACTGAATGCCCCGATGGAAAATACGTAGGAGAAACCAAACAACAACTGTGCACCAGAAAGAACGCATACCGAAAATCCATCAAAGACAAGAACACCCAATTACCTGTGGGTGCACACTTCTCCCAGGACAATTACTCCCTCTCTGAGCTCTCAGTTCTAATCCTCAAAGGGAACCTACAACACACCTTTCATAGATGAGTCTACAAACTTCACTCCGTACATCTACTGGATGCAAAAAATCATTGGCCCAGTATAGACATTGGATTTATGACACATTACAACCTACCTGACATCTGATTCACCAGGTACCTGCCACTGATCTCTTACACTTTTCTTCCCCCACCCCTTCTCCTCCCCTCCTTTTCTGCCCTTTGTCTTCCTAATTTCCAGCTATTTACTTTTTTCACAGAAGATCTCTTCTCTACATTGACAATATACTCCTGTAGAGAGTCTCCCTTACTTACCTTTGGCTTCCTCACTCCCCAACCCCTTCTTAATTTCCACCTATTTACATGCTCACCGACATCCTGTCACCCTTCTAGCTTCTTTCATTCCTTGGAGTCTCAGAACAGCAGAGACTCCCTATGCCTGAAGAAGGGTGACTGCACCCAAAAGAAAACAACCCTCTCCCCCCAACTACTCAGTTGGTCTAATAAAAGATATCACATCTACCCAAAGAACCCTGCTTGCCTATGTCCTTAGACCGACACGGTTACAGCCAAAAACCAAGTTAAGGAGTTCTGACGCTGGGGGACGGGAGAGAAAAA